GAGAGAGAGAGAGACGAAGAGAAAGAGAAAAGGAGGGAAAAGAGAGAGAAGAGGAGCAAGTGGGGGGAGGCACAATGCTATGGCGCGACAAACAAGGGTGGCGCTAGATACGGTCCTGGACCGGGACCGGAGGTTGCGTCCCCTTCTCGGCCGTCTCCGTCCTTTTTATTCCTTATCTATTCTCGCGTATCCTCGATCCCCCCTTCCCCCCCCCCCTCTTTTCGTACGATCTCCACACTCATATCCGCCGGTATTCGCGACAGCGGGAGAAACGCGCACGAGTGCGCGGTACGTACGTTCGTAAGTGCATGCGGCGCGCGAGGGAGACGTATGCAACGTACTGCTACACCCCAAAATCTGATCGATCCATCCGCGCCACGAGTCCCACGGAGCCCCGCCTCCCCGCAAACCGTACGATGATGTCGACGGATCGAGCCGATCACCATCCGTCTATCTACTATGATATCCGGGTGAACGGTACAACCGTTATTTACAGTATCCCCCCCTGACAGCGTCTCTTCCTCTCGGATATCCCGATCTGGCATCTCGAAGCCGCCATCTGTTTCGCGGATTTGCATCGCTGTCGCGCGACAGAAAGGCACGTTTTTTAGCCGCGCGACAAGCCATGCGACCCCCTCCTTCTCCGCGGAACGAGGCTTACCGGTAATACCTAGTAGGATCCAGCACACGAGGCATAGGACGTAGTAGTTGACGTAGGAGGACCTCCTCATGGTGATCACGACGACAACAACAACGGCGACGACGACGACGACGGCGTAACTGTCCCCGACGACAGGTCCACTGACATCGCATGGAACACCGCGATGCGCACCCCTCTTTCTCTCCCCGTGATCCTTCACTTAATAATCCTTCGTCGTCGTCCCGTTCATCCTCCAACAACAGCCGGTGCTACCAGGATCCGCGCATACTCCCGCGTTACTCGTCGTTGCAACCCTTTCGTTGCAACTCCCTCGTTACTGTTCTTGTTTTGTGCACCGATTTTCCCTTCCTTCTCTTTCTCTCTCTCTCTCTCTCTCTCTCTCTCTCTCTTCCTTTATCTTCCTCCGTCTAACACTATGATATCACATTATCTCGCAGGTGGATAGTCGCGAACGCTAAACGGCGGATCGAGGCCGAGTTGCATCTAATTTGTGGGCCGTGTCTCGCGCATGGGGTTCACCGTGCACTCCTTCACCGTGCGTATCCGATCCCGATTGGAAAGGGGTACCAAGAATTAAATTTCTCCCTTTATTACTCCCGAAGAAGACGCGAAGTGTCGCGCGCACCAAGGTCACGAAGTGGTCTGCCTGCGTACAATTGGGCCACCCTTCCCCCCCCTCTTCTTCTTTTTACCCCGCGGTTGTACTCCCCGTTGCACGGACGCACGGTATACTCGGTGTGGATCGGTCGGTCGTACTGTGAAACGCGACCGGGTTTCCCGCACTCGGCTCGTCCGCGGTTCGTCGTCCCGGGCGAAGCTCTGAAACCGCCGGGCCTCCGGTGGCACTGCCCGCGCCCGCCCGGGGATTCCGCGCAGGCGTGCTCTCTCTCCTCTACTCCGGCGGCGATCAGTCAGCCTCCTCCTTCCTCGAGGCCTTCTGCCTTTTCCGCCGCGCGCCTTTCGTCCCCGGCGCTACGGCTTTGCGCGCTCCGCTCCGCTCCGCTCCGCTTCGCGTCGCGTCGCGTCGCGTCGCGCCGCGTCGCGTCGCCCAACTCTGCTCCGCTCCGAATTTTTCTTCCCGCATTCTACGTCCTCGTCTACTTTCTATTTTCTCTTTCCTTCTCCCCCTTCCGCCGCTTTTGCGTGTTCTATGCGGCGCTGAGAGACTCTGCAATTGTCTCGCAAACACGGACAAATTTCACGCTTCTTACACGACATCATATTCCCTCGTACCTCCCCTCCGGAGGTCGAATGGCACGCGACCTCGAACTCGAACATTCTGTCTCCTGCCAACCGTCGAGGAAAACTTTAAACATCATGTTTTATTGTAACCGCGTGTCTAGTCGCTCACCGGAGCGTTTCCCAATCCGCCACACGATTATCCTAACTCGTTAATCATTAAAGAGCTTCGATGCTCCGTAACAACTCCCCCTTCATCTTAATATCCACTTTATTTCCTTTCTCTTGATGTTTTCGTACTTGGAATAATTTTAAATATTAGAGTCATCTTATTTCGCTTCTGACTTCTGTAACGCGCAGATTTCACCCGCAGCACGGTCTAAATGAATTCTTCGAGTCCTCTCCGGAATTCTGGAGTTTTTTAATTTCTCGCAAGCGTATATCTAACGTTTAATCCTTAGACGTGCTCGAATTTGCCTCCCATGTTTATGCGAATGAAAAGTCTTTCACCGCTTGAAGCGGTGACGAGACACGAATTTACCGGACGAGACACACGAATTATATTTACGTACTTTCGAGAATATAATTACATGCGTTTGCGGAAAATTAAATTTTTACGAAAGCATTCTGTGTAATTGGATATGTATTCACACACTACGTTAAACAATGTTTCGCGTATATTGTAGCTCAGGCACCTATGCAATATGCAACGTTGAAATTGAGGTAGACCGCCTGGAACGGAATGGCGGAAATGTATTTGGAGCCCCTCATCCCACCGTGGAGATCCAGCACGCTTCACCGTGGACAAATGTTAAGCCGCTTACAGTATGAATCTTATCCCCGGAGACTGATGTGGCAGTGGGCTCGGGTATTTAATAGAAGGAAAAAAAAATACCCGCCGTCGCTTTTGTTCGTGCGGCATAACGGATCGTTTCGTATCAGCGCCACGCTCGTTCTTCGAGACGTTTAAACAATACGACATGTCCCTGATCTTGTTCCACTTTAATTTAATCGACAAAGTTTAATAATACTGGCAACTTCCCCTTTGTTATTTTATTCGTTACATGTCGCAATCGATATTATATATTCACACTGCACTGTCCGGTTTTTTTTATTAATTCCATTTGCAATATCGACAAATTGTTTTCGTCAATAAATAGACAAATGAATAAATAAATAAATATTCGGGTTGAATTCTACGGGGTCGATTCTACGAGGCTCCATTTTGATTGGCCATCATTTATGACAAACAGGTTTTCTGCTCGCCGTTATCTAGACGAATATCGTTTCCAACTTTCATGTTCGCCGAAATTAACCGCCGTCGTCTTCGTAAATAAGTTTTCGTATCACGTCGCGTTCACGGGACACCAACGTAATTTGCATGAACGACGGTATTTGGTAAATTATATAACTTTTCTTCCCAATGATCGACTGATCCCATTTTGTGTCCCTCTCCGTTCCTACTTTAGGACTTTCTTATCTCCTCGTCTACACTTCCCTTTTACTTACGTATATATCTGGAAAATTAACGTTACCTTCGTTTTTCTTCTTCACATTTAATCAAAAGAAACAAATGTGCAGGAATTATCTCTCCCCAGCATAGGCGAAACATAATAATTTATATCAATGTACATATTTAGAAGAATTTTTAATATTTCTCAATTATCGTCGTTGGATTTCTAAAACAATCTGCAATCTGTCAAGTAAACGACAATAGCGTACCAATTTTTTTCGACGAGGTCAAACACCGCCATGGGATTATATGGGTTGTCGATCGAGGTAGACGAAAGTTGATCGGCCGTTCGCTCGTCTTTTTCGTCCCCTTCATCTCATCCTCGGGCAACACGAAGGGTTGATGTCACCGACGGCGAGCCCTACACTTTTCACGGCGCATCGACTTGGCTGGGGTCAACGTTAACGTTGATCAGCTTCAAAATTGTGCATCTCCCGTCCGTGTGGGTCATGCCGATAAACTTTTGCACGCGCCGGGTGACAAACCGTCGCAGAATCGACAAAAAAGCGCGGCGCGGCGCGGTGGTTCGCTCTCGCGCGAGCCGATTATTCATTTTTTATCGGCGCATCCGTACTCTCCCATATTCCCTCTATCTTTGGATGCCCCCGCTTTTGTTCCGCTTTTGCCGCGCTGAAACTTTCAGATGCGTCGCGCGCTAAACTCGTCCCTCTTGCGAGCGAGAGAGAGAGAGAGAGAGAGAGAGAGAGAGAGAGAGAGAGAGAGAGAGAGAGA